TGCCATGGCATTTGTGGAAAGCCAACATCATTTAGTGTGGATCATTACTTTTTCCAAGGTTTCAAGAACTTTGCTGGTGGTATGTCTTTTTGGTGGTATAATATTCTTTTTTAAGGTGTTAAGTCATACATCAGAGGATAAGATTCTTGTATTAATAAGCTGTCCTTTATCCAGCCTGATGTTCAGCTGTCTCTTGGTGCAGTACCCCAAGAGCCACCCCTATATGTACTCCCCTACTTCTCTTGTACCTGTTGTCTAGGTCTGCCATTCCCTCAGTATACCATCTTCTTCCCTTAGCAAACCCACGTTTCTTCCATAATAGATTGCCGAGATGTCTTGTGACTTAATCGTGCTTGTTGATCTGGTGGCTAGGAGAAGATGTACAAGTAGATCCTGCATGGAACACATGTTGCATGCAGAGCCTGCCACATCATTTTCAAAGGAAACAGGGAATGCTAGCCATTAAGAGGGAAGAGCAGATCACTTAAGAAGTGCTGCATCATTTCTTCTACTCTATCTTCCTTTCCCTAATTCTTTTCATCTCGTCTTTTTCCAATGTTACCTTTTATTTTTAGATTTTGTACTATATTTTTGTTTTCAGAATTGTTTTGTTGTTTAGATCTTTCCTAAATCTTTTATGGCACTTTTCACAATTTCCAGTTCTCTGAAGTTGCTTTCAAGTTTGTTTATTTTTTAATCAAAGCAAGCATACATGCTTTTTTTTTTAATTTGAGAAGTTCAGAGAGAAAGCGAGGAGCGGGGAGAAAGACTCCTCATGGCTATTTCACTCCCCAAATGCTCTCCAACAGTTGGGTTTTTCACTTGTCAAATATCCCCAAGAGTTGGAGCTGGGCCATGTAAAAGCTAGGAACTCAGTGGATCTCCAGTATGGGTGACAGGGACCCAACTACTTGAGTCATTACCTTCTGATGTGCAGAGTTTGCAGGAAGTTCAGTGAGCAGAGCTGGAACTCAAACCCAGATACTTTGTTGATATGGGATGTGCCACTATTGAGTTTAAATTAAATCCGTATGTATTTTGCATAGTAACCCCTTATTAGATATATGCTTTGTGAATATTTTCTCCCACTCCATGGGCTGTCTTTTCAGTCTGTTTCCCTTGTTGTGCAGTCCTTTTAGCCTGATGTGGTCCCTTGTGCTTTTGGTGTCATATCCAAGAAATCATTACGTAGTCCAATGTCATGACTCTTTTCCCTTTCTTCTAAGATTTTCAATTTTCTGTCAGAAATCTTTAATGCACTTTGAATTGATTCTTCTGTGTGGTGTACAAGTCCAACATCATCTTCAGGGTGATGCCAATTTTAAGTATCTGTGGCTGTGGTTGGGTGTTTGGTTGTTCCTGCCAGCTTTCACTATGGAATCTTATTTTCTTGGGTATCTTGATTCATCAAGAGTGCAGGTAAATGCTCCTAGAAAAAAGTAATTTTTAGCCTGCCTTTTTAAAACCAACTGTTATCTGTGCTTGCTTTACCCAGGTGCCCTAACACTTTCCAGTACTACCCAGTGACAATAATAAACTGGTCACAGATTCTGGAAGTGAGGGATAAAATTCTCCCGGGAACTAGAACATAGCCTTTGTCTTTACTTTCATTTTTTATCTCATAAACTCATTTTTGCATTCATATTTTCCACAAAAAAATCTCTGATAGATGCTTCCTGTCTTTTCAACATTTCAGTATTAAGACCAGTTTTTAAAAAGTTTTAATCTAACATTTTTTAATAAGTGCAAGGTGGTGCTGTCACTTTCAACGACAGAAGTCTTTGTCTTATTGCTCAATGAGATTACCCTTAACTCTGGAGTCAGAATTTAAAAAGGTTTTTTTGTTTATTTTTATTTATTTGAAAGACAGACACCTAGAGTGAGAAAGGCAGGCAGACAGAGATCATGCAACTGCTGATTCAATTCACAAGTGCCTGCAACAACCAAGGCTGGCTGGGCCTGACCAAATCTAAGATCCTATAATGGATTCTGGGTCTCCCAAATCCAAGAGCCTATAGCTGAGTTCTGGTCTCCCATGTGGATGGCGGGGATCCAAGTACTTGAGCCAGCACCCGCTGCTTCCCCTGGGTACACATTAATGGAAAGTTGGATTTGGAAGCAGAACTGGAACTTAAGCCTCGGCATTCTGATACGCAATTCAAACGTCCCAAGTAGCATCTTAAATGCTGTGCCACATGACCATCCTTGTAATCAAATTTTTGTATTTTAGATATCACCTACTTAAGTATCCAAATATGGTGTCCTGTTTGATATTTCTGATTTATATTAAAATGGATTTTTCTAAATTTATTTTAGAGTTTATGAAAAATATATTTTTGTTACTGCTATGAATTAGAAAGAAGGGCTTTTCTCATATTCACTTTTCCAACTAGTTCCTCCAGATTCGTTAGAATAATGCACCAAATAGTCATTTGTCTCACTACTGCTTTTGCCTATTGAGAGAAAATATATTTATGAAAAACACCAGGCACCCAGGCTTAAGAACAGGCTCCTTGATGATGCCTGAATAACTAAGACTCACTTGCTCCTGTGCCACACTCTTCAATAACACAGTATCACCCATAGACTATGTCAGACTGGACAGTGCGTACCAACTGCTACCTCAGCTTCTCCTTCCCTTTCTCACCTCTCTCCCCCTGCCCCCAATTCTCTGCCCTGTGCTTCCTTTCCTAGATTAATCTTTGAAAATACAAGCATATACTTAAATACCATTGATTGGGGCTTATCCTTTTGTCTCTTGTAGCTCTCTGCATCTCAGTGAACCAGTGGAGAACTCTCTTTTTCCCTCTTCCTTTTAAATAAAAATCAATAATAATACATCTTAAAAATTAAATCTTGGCCGACACCGCGACTCAGTAGGCTAATCCTCTGCCTGCAGCGCTGCCACCCCGGGTTCTAGTCCCAGTTGGGGCGCCAGATTCTGTCCTGGTTGCCCCTCTTCCAGTCCAGCTCTCTGCTGTGGCCAGGGAGTGCAGTGGAGGATGGCCCAAGTCCTTGGGCCCTGCACCCACAGGGGAGACCGGGGTCGGGGTTGTGGGGGCTGGCTCCTGGCTTCAGATCAGCGCAGCTCGCCGGCTGTAGCAACCATATGGGGGTTGAACCAATGGAAGGGAGACCTCTCTCTCTGTCTCTTCCTCTCTCACCGTCTAACTCTGCCTGTCAAAAAAAAAAAAAAATTAAATCTGTACCTACATATGTACTGGCTTTTTCTTGTCATTTTTCCCCAAACAGTTTAGTATAATAATCTTTTACACAGCATTTGCATTGTATCAGGAATTATAAGTAATCTAGACATAATTTAAAATGTTCAAGACACAATCAGTTATATGCAAAAACTACACCATTTTGTGTTATGCATTTGAGCTTCACGAAATTTTGCATCTTCAGGCAGTTCTGGAATCAGAACTGCCAAGGGCAGCCGTACGGGAAACTGAGTGATTTATAAATAACAGAAATTTATTTTATTGTAGTTCTGGAAATGGGGGAGTCCAAGATCAAGTTCCTAGCAGGTTCGGATCCTGTGTCTCTCTGCTTCCTAGATGGCACCATTAACACTGAATTCTTTGGAGGGAGGAGCACTATTTCTCACACAGCAGAGGAACAAAAGAGGGATGAACCCTGCAGGCCCTGTTCACAGCGCTGTCATGCTCTGTTCTCCCATTAGGCCCCCCTGCCCACACTGCTGCCCCAGGATCACATTACAACAGGAAGCCAGAGGGGCCAAAACATTCAAACCACAACAAATGGGTAATCTCTACTCAAGCGTAAAGAATCTGCCAGGGCTTTTGTCCTGTCAGTGGCCATATATTCTGATTCTTACGCTTAATGCAGATAAATAAAATGAAAATGATTTATTTACTAAATTTGATAAAAAAAAATATATCTTGAAATTGCTGCAGTATCTCCCAGCAGTCTCCACTTCTACCCTGCTTTACTGAGGTAGGCGTGACAGACAATGGGCTGCATATTCTGAAGAATGCATTTTGAGGAGTTTAGCAGATCTGTGCACCTGTGAAACTGGCACCACAGTGATGGTAATGAACTCAGCCATCAGGCCCAAAAGTCTGCTCATGCCACAGTGTGGTGCCTTCTTCCTACTGCTACCCCTCCCCTGGCATTCAGTGCCCTGTGTTTATCCCTACAGAGCAGTTCCTGTTTTCCAGCATTTTGTATACATGGAATCAATAGAGTATTCATTCTTGTGGGTCTGGTTTTTGAGATTCGTTGCTGTTGTGTGTATCAACAGTCCATTCTCCTTTATTACTGAGTCATGTTCTATTCTGTTTTGTTTACCTAAACCTTTATAATTCAGCCTTCTCCCAAGAACTTAGCCCCCCCCCCCCCCCATAATAATGCTTTCCTGAATCCTCCTGCCCTGACAAGACTGATCAAACCAATTCTGAAGCCACATAGCTGAAGGCAGGCTTGGGATGAAGGAGTCTCCTGCTGAGGAAGGAAGGCCCCTGGAAGTCATTCCCTCCTATCACCAGACACCATTTTTTTTTTTTTTTTTTTTTTTTTGGACAGGAAGAGTAGACAGTGGGAGAGAGAGAGACAGAGAGAAAGGTCTTCCTTTACCATTGGTTCACCCTCCAATGGCCGCTGTAGCCGGCGTGCTGCGGCCAGCGCACCACGCCGATCCAAAGCCAGGAGCCAGGTGCTTCTCCTGGTCTCCCATGTGAGTGCAGGGCCCAAGGACTTGGGCCATCCTCCACTGCGCTCCTGGGCCACAGCAGAGAGCTGGACTAGAAGAAGGTCAACCGGGACAGAATCCGGCGCCCCGGCCAGGACTAGAACCGGTGTGCCAGTGCCACAGGCGGAGGATTAGCCTAATGAGCAGCGGCGCCGGCCCAGACACCATCTTCTGGTCACCAGTGAGGAACTGGGAACTGTCAAACAACTGTTCTGACTAATGATGACTAAACTACAGGCAACACTCATTTTTCTTCTCTCCAACCCCAACCTCCTTGTCATTTCAGACCCCTAAGGGGAGCTGTGCGACATCAGTCAAGATTGCCATTGACACGGGGTACCGACACATTGACGGGGCCTACATCTACCAAAATGAGCACGAAGTGGGCGAAGCCATCAGGGAGAAGATAGCAGAAGGGAAGGTGCGGAGAGAGGATATTTTCTACTGTGGGAAGGTGAGTTCTCGCCTCCACCCCCACCCCGACCCTGTCTCCTTTGTCAATGGTAGGTCCAGTACCTCCTTTCTCTGCTGAAGAAACTTGAGCTTGCCGAGGGGAGGAGGATGTGCTCCCTGTCCCTCACCACTGTGCTCTTCCTCACTGTGAGCCCCTGAAGGGGAGGGCAGAGCTCTTTCTTCATCCCTGGCTGTTGATTTAAGGGGGCTTAATGTGAGAAAAGCCGAATCTACAAAGCAGAACACTTGGGCAGTGACAGGAAGAGTGTTGGTTGTTCATATCCCATAAGCCTTTGCCAGTGCTGTCTTTAAAAGAGCAACCTCCTTCAAGTTTGTATGTACCTGCTTTTCTGTAGATCACCATTTTTTAATTGAGATCTAATTCATCTACCATAAAGTTCACCGTTCTTATCAGGGGTTTTTTGTACATTGACAAACCTGTGCAAGCATCACCTTTACGTAATTGTACAGCATTTGCATTACTCTAAAAAGATACTCCAACTCTGTTAGCAGATATTTTCCATTTATTTCTCTATCCTTGTCACTTGGAAGCCAGGAATCTGCCTTGTTATGTCTTTATAGTCTTTCTGTTCTGGACATTTTATACAAGTGGTATCTATGATACATGAACTTTCACATGTAGCTTCTTTTATGTAGTAGTATAATGTTTTTAAGATATACCCATGTTAAGGCAAAAAGGTGTACATCTTTTTAAAAATATTTATTTATTTAAAAGGCAAAGAGAGAATGTGGGATTGGAAGCGGAGCAAATGGGACTAAAAGAGGCACTCTTATTTGAGCTGTGGGAGTCTGGTGGCTCAGAGGGTTAAGCCTGCTTCTCCTGCATAACTTAAGACTTAGTAATTCTCTAATTATACCTTTACACCTACACCAGAGAGCACTTTTGTCTTACTTAACTACTGTCACTTGTAACAATATCCAGAGTACCGCTGTTTATGATGGCTGAGAACTAGAAACAAACCAAAGCCCCATCAACAGTGGAATGGGGGAATGAAACCAGCTGCTTCTCCCCGGACCTCCCTGCCTCAGAAGCCAGGAGGTCATGGTGCTGGCTAGGGTCCTAGGGCACCCCTGTGCTGAGAAACCTAGCTCCACACACCTGTCTGCAGGAGATGAAGGAAGAACCCAGATTCCCAGAGTGCACCAAAGGGGAACCAGGGACATAACCAGTGGCTCCCAACAGAGGGAGCCCCACCAGAGAGTGGCTGCCAGTGCTCAAAGGAATAAATTCTCGGCCCATGGATTTCCAGGAAATCAAGACAGCCTTCAAGGTTGAGCAGCGTTGGGTTGGCAGACAGGTGTTATCTGTCATTCTATTTTTACTGATAATGAGATCCGTGCAGAGCTGAGACAGAGAGAGCAGTGACAGGACTGATGACCACGGAGGGCCTGGAACAGGGAACGGGACTGCTGGGCAGTCAGCGAAGCCAGGTACTCACTCACGTGAACATGTGGGGAAAGTCAGGAACGGAGGCTTGGAAATCTGGGGTGGCGTTTGTTGAATGAAGCTGTGATGAAGAAGACTAACTCTAATACTGAAGACGTCCCTGTAGTCGTGCTTGACTGTGGCTTTGACCGCTGCCATCACAACCTTTTTTTCAAACTTTTATTTAATGAATATAAATTTCCAAAGTATGGCTATGGATTACAATGGCTTTCCCCCCATAACTTCCCTCCCACCCACAACCCTCCCCTTTCCCGCTCCCTCTCCCCTTCCATTCACATCAAGATTCATTTTCAATTCTCTTTATATACAGAAGATCAGTTTAGCATACATTAAGTAAAGATTTCAACAGTTTGCTCCCACACAGAAACATAAAGTGAAAAATACTGTTTGAGTACTAGTTATAACATTAAATCACAATGTACAGCACATTAAAGACAGAGATCCTACATGAGGAGTAAGTGCACAGTGACTCCTGTTGTTGACTTAACAAATTGACACTCTTGTTTATGGCGTCAGTAATCACCCTATGCACCAGTCATGAGTTTCCAAGGCTATGGAAGCCTTTTGAGTTCACCGACTCTGATCATATTTAGACAGGGTTGTAGTCAAAGTGGAAGTTCTCTCCTCCCGTCAGAGAAAGGTACCCCCTTCTTCATCACAACCTTTTTTAAGCAATTTTAATCTTTCAAAGGTAGACCTCAATGGTTGGGAAGTATACGAAGACAAATTAAACCTTTTATGTCCTTTTGTGTTTCACTCGCAGGAGTACACACTGAACTGACATTTAACCTCATCTTAGTTATGGTGCTCGCAAAACAAAGGAGGACATCAAGTAGCCCTTCTTACACAAAAATGATATCCCTTGTACACTTTGTGCCTTCTATGAGTAAGACTTAAAATACAAATTACTGTTATGTTTTTGGATTTTTTTTAGAGTTTGAAGAAGGCAAGGAGGTGGCAAGGTAAGCAGAAAAGACTTTTATTGAAGACTAAACAGCACAGCAGGGGAAAAGTCAGGTTTCAGCCTGCCAGGACAAGGGGCAGGAGGTCTGAAGGAGAGACTTGAGCCTGCTAGGCAGCGGTGGCAGCCAATTTATGCTCTTTATTGGTAGGGGCCATATGAGGTGGGCCTGAAAGGAGAGAAGGCCCCCTTGGGTCAGCAGTGTCCAGTGTGTGGTGTTATCAGCTCAGGATGTCCCTAGGAAGGAGTTGTGAAACTCAGAGTCAACCTAGAGGAATTTTAGGCAATAAAATAGCACAATGTTATCTTCAGGGCCATTATGCTTGTGCTCACTTTTACAAGATATGGAGTTAACCATTTGAGCCCCAACAACCTAGTAAGTCCTAACAATGATAGCATGTTGGGGTTAGGGATACCCACTTCCTCTGTGCTTACAGGTTTTAAATTTCCAAACTGTTCTGTGACCAGATGTGAAGAGGACTCTGTCTAGTCACTTCTTGTACAACTTGCCTGGTAAAAGAAATTCATGAAATGGATTCCTAGCAGTGTTTTAGTATTTATCAAATAACATCATTTCCTACAGAAAGTTAAGAAAGCTTAGGCTTTTTTAAAGGCAGAGTGACAGATAAGAGAGAGAAAGAGAGACAGATCTGGTTCACTCCCAAATGGCCACAACTGGGGCTGGGCCAGGACAAAGCCAGGAGCTTCCTTCAGGTCTCCCATGTGGATGCAGGAGTCCAAGGACTTGGACCATCTTCTGTTGCTTTCCCAGGTGCAGTAGCAGGGAGCTGATCGGAAGTAGTACTGCTGGGACTTGAACTGGTGCCCATATGGGATGCTAGCACTGCAGACGGTAGCTTAACCTGCTGTATTACAGAGCTGGTGCCAGGTTTGTTTGTTTTTTTTTTTTTAATTGGATGATACAGCACTTAGCTGTCATTCACTTTTCTTAACTATTGTATATATTTAATTCTGTAAGATAAGATTTTTATACATTGGTCTTCCTTAGCAATCATATATTGGCAAAGAAAATGCAGAATGTGAGACACCAGTATGTCTGACTTCATGCAATCATGATGAATCAGACGAGTTGAAAACCTTGATATTTTTGGATTATTATCTCCACTTCTTATTTAGCTCCCTGCTGGTGCAACTGGGAAATCAGTGGAGGATGGCCCAAGGGCTTGGGCCCTTGTCACTCATGTGGGAGGCCTGGATTGGGTTTTAGGCTCCTGGCTTCTTCCTAGCCCAGCTACAGCTTTTTCACCAATTTGGGCATTTAGACAGTAGATGGAAGATCTCTTTCTCTGTCTCTCCCATTTTCTCTGTCATTCTGCCTTTCAAACAAATAAAATCTTCAAAAAATTAACCGTATCCCCTATGTTATATCTTAATGTTAGCCGTCGCAAAGCACACCGGACACCGGAGTAAGGGAGAGGGTTTATTGGGGAACAACCTACAGACCAGAGTGAAGGGGCGGCGAAGGAAAAAAGGGGGTGCGTGTCTGGAATGGGGGTCTAATATAGTTTTTCCAGGGGGTGGGCAGTGAGGTAGGAATTAGGCAATCCCATTAGGTTGAGGGTGGAGCTAGGCACAGGTGATTTGGGCTATGTGGCTACCTGGCTTTCAGTAATGGTGGCTGGTACCGGGGCATAGAATGTAGATCGCGCCACAGATAAGAGACTACCCCTGCGCCAGTTGCCTAACATTCCCCCCTTTTGTTTTTTATAAAGCAGGCATTGTATGGGATAACAAACGCCCAGGAGGGGAGAAGGGGGCGATGGTCTGTCTTCCATAGCTGCTTCCTGCTGGCCCAGGCGATGAGTCTTAAGTTGTTGTTGTTATCTCCTGGGTGGGGAGCCGAGCATATCCCTGCAGCAGCACCTGGTTGACAGCCTGGTTGGTGAAGACTTTGGTTCGCTCCATGATTACTTCCTGTAAACACTTAAATAGACATGGTAATGCAAAAGACAGGGTTAAAATAGCGGCCAATGGTCCTAGGAGTGGCATTAACCAAGTGGCCAGTGGACTCCATAAGGGAGAGGAAAAGAGAGATTCTCCGGACCCTAGGGCAGACTGCTTTATAGAGGTGGCAATTTGCTGGAGCTTGTTAACATTTTGCTCTACCTGCCCTGATTGATTAACATAATAGCAGCATTGTTCTCCCAGGAAAACACAAGTTCCTCCCCTTTCAGCTGTTATAAGGTCCAGAGCCCGTCTGTCTTGTAACACTATGTTTGCCAGTGAGGTAATCTGGCTTTGGAGGCCTCGAATGGCATCTGCGGAAGTTTCAATGGACCTAGAGATCGCCTCTCGTAATTGCTGGAGCTGCTCTTGGAACCGGTTGATGGACATAATGTTGTGGCCCAGAGCAGTTCCCGAGACCACCACGGAGAAGAGGGAAGCTGCGAGGCTGACTCCAACCAGGACAGGGAGGAGGACTGCTGGTTTCTTGCGGACAGGGGGATTAACCTGTAAAAGAAACTCTGAGTAGTCGTATAATGTCAGATTGGGGGAGAGTATCACCAGTACACATGGGCCAGGTGTAGAATGGTTAATACAACTGTACAGG